TTTGTCCTTTTCCAGCCTTTTCTTAAAAAAAAAAAAAAAAAGACTCATTCAGCCTTACTGTATGCAACTTGCAGTCACGAAAGACAGACTGGCTTGAACTGGTAAGTCCGCACATCAGAACTGCAACTTATTAAAAATAGCCTATAAATGTAATTTTACATCAGCCATCAGCAGGCTATATTCATAGAACTACTCACATTGAACTAAGAGCCAGCTATTTGCTCACTCATTTTGTTTGTCTACATCTCTATCTACATGTATACATCCAATCCCATGCATATGTTTTAATAATGAATAGGCATGTTCCTGATAAGTACGTACCCTTTTGGTCAAGACAGTGTAAGTGCAGAGGGGGGTTTCTGCTCTTGCTCTCACACAAGTATAATGGAACCCTGTGCTGGTCTAATACTCTGCACCTAATACAGGCTTTCGAGCCTCTTAGAAAAACAAAATCCAGCCTTTTCTAAAATACATTTTAAACAAGGTTTTCTTCAAAATTGACATTTGGTGCTAACATATAACATGAACAAAAACTTCCTTGTAACTTCCTACCCAAAGTTGGCCCATACCACCTTCACTGTAAACTGAAAGCATATGCCCTACACAGCCTGCAAGGTAGGGGTAGGCAATTTTTGCAGGGGGCCATGCCACAAATTTGGTAAGTCATCTTAGGCCATGCTTTTCCCCCCCATATATTAACTGATGGGATGAGGAGTTGGGGAGGGAGTTTAGGTGCAGGAAAGGATTCTGACCTGGGGCAGAGGTGTAAGGTGCAGGCTTGGTTCAGGAGGCACTTACCACAGGTGGCAGCATAGCAGGGTGATCATGCAGGCTACCTGACATACAGACCCATGCTTCTGGAAGTAGTGTGGAAGGCTATGTCCCATGGGAGGAGGAGATGAAGGTAGTGGGTCTCCATGCACTGCCTGCACCCACAAGGACTGCTCCTATGGGCCTGTTTCCAGTCAGAGCTGGGAGGAAGGTGCTGGGAGACAGGTGCAATGTGCAGAACCACCTCCCTTTTCCACCAAGGGGGCACAGACACATGCCAGTAGGCTGGACAGAAATGTCAGGCTGCATTTGACCTGCTGACTGTATTTTGCCCACCCCTGTGGTAAGAGCATAAGAAATAAAAAAGTAGCATTATTGGGTTTCTAGTTGCTATGACCAGGAATCTTGCCTGCTAAAACTACTCTGAATTAGCAGCAGTTCTCCTCCATCTGTTGAGCTGGGTGCAGTGTGGACAAGTACAAGTTTGGTGTAAGGTACAAACCAGGCTTCTGTCTTGGATACCTTTCTCCACCAAATGTATGCACATATGATGGATGTAACAGCAACAGCAGCTCTTACCGCAAGATTCCAGGACAAAGAGAGCTTGGAACTGGGAGAGCTATCAAACTGCTTTAAGATAAATACTTGTGTATGTTTGGGCATAGAGTATATTAAAAGTAATGTAACATATCACGATCAAAATGAAAGTATGGTGAGACTGCCACCTGTTAGTGAGGATGGAAGATAATTCTGCATGTGTGTGTATATACACACACAATTAAATATACCATGAATGTAACTAGTGTGAAGGGAAACTTTACCTTCAGGCACTGTCCATTTCGAGCAGTCATCAATAAACAATCCTTTGCTTAAGCTTAAAATAGTGTCTCCATTCCTCCTGGCTTGATTTGACAAAGCTACAAGGTTGATCTATGCCTGTATTAGGTTTCATATCCTTTATAGAGTTCATTACCTAAAATCAGTCCAAAAAATTGGCACTAGATGTCATTTATATTTAAAAAAAATTAAAGAGAAGTTTCATTGGTGTGAGGTCTTGAGTTCTCCTCCTCCAGCAATGCTATTCTTTGCTTGAGCATCCTCACTTGAGTCTCATGCCTCTCAACCATGGCCATCATTTGTGACTCCAATTTCTTCAGTTTGTTTTGATGCTTCTTCTTTGCTTTTTCATAAGCAGCTACAAGATTACTGTTAGAAACAGACAGCAGTACAAAATCATTCAACACAGCATGCTCAAGTTAAGCACCTAGAAACTGACTCACCTAAAATAAGTGGCCACTTTTGAAAATGTGGCAAAATGATTCCTCTCTCAATGTGACTATCACATCGAGCATGTTTTTTCAAGCTTTACAAAATGATTCTCTCAATACAAGATCTTGTTTTTAAAGTATCAGCCATAAAGGAACTAATGATCCTCCCAGAAAAAGAGTTATCAAATGAAAGCCCAAGGGATCCATATCACAAAGCTGCAAGAACTGGATCTAATTAGTGAATGAAAATATCTTTGTTGGAGAGCTCTTAGCTATGTTGCTTTAATGCCACAAGCACTATAAAACACTAACTGATCATTTATTGTGATCAATTACTCTATGCTTGCTGCACAAATGTACTACACAGTTCCAGGTTATCGTACAATGTTTGAGCATTGTGGGCCTGATCAGTGGAGGTGCTGAACACCTTCCTCTCCCCTCTGGTGTGAATATGAGTAGAGGCTGCTCAGTATCTCACAGGATTGGACCCTACATGCATACCAAAACACTTTGTGATAAGGGGGCACTGTCAGATAGGTTTATGATCAAAAGTTAGACATTGTAATTAAGATTTATAAAACATGAAAGCTTTAAGTAAATAATAAAACTCCTCATCCACTGAATTATTTTTAAACTGTTTTAGTCCCCCTCCTAAGCCTATGCCAAAAAAAGAATAGGAATAAATAAAGAGGTGTGAGTGCCTGAAACTAGTAGGTGACACAGCTGCATCTCATTTGGCTGTGGTGAATGGAGTACAAAAAGGAAGTTGGGGAGTGTGTGCACATTTATAATAAGGCAGGTGAGCTCTGAAGGAGGGACAAAGGGGACAGGGACTTGGGAAACCTGGGTTCAAATCCCACCAAGTATAAACCTGGACAAATAATTTAATCTCTCTGTGCTTCTCCACCTGTAAAATGGGGATAATTGTACTTCCCAGTAAGATAATGCACTGATGAGCTTGAGATGATCAGGTATTATAATAAGGAAGATGTATAAGTGCCGAGATAGATCTTGAGAGTTCTTCTTTGAAGTCCAACAATGGACATTTTAGTTTCCAAATGCCCTCTCTCCAACACCTGTTGCCTCCCCTTTCACTCAACAGAAGACACTAAATGGATGCTGGTAGATCAAGTCTTGCCCATCACCTCAATTGCCAAGACTTCCTTTAACGGTTCATGAGTGATAAATGACAGTTACAATTGTTGGTGCCTTTTCTTCAAGGACTCAACCATTCACTATCAGTCCAATTGATGCACATCATCACCTGGGGCACAGTCCATATTACAGGCAGTCCCCGGGTTACGAACAAGATAGGGACTATAGGTTTGTTCTTAAGTTGAATTTGTATGTAAGTCGGAACTGGCTCCAGATTCGGCCGCTGCTGAAACTGATCAGCGGCTGATTCCAGGAAGCCGGGGGCAGAGCTACTCTGCCTAGGGCTTCCTGTAGTCAGCCGCTGATCAGTTTCAACAGCAGCTGAATCTGGACTCCTGGGACAGAACAGCTAGGGCACTGCCGGGTAGGTCCCCGCAGGACCAACCCGGCAGCACCCCAGCTGCTCTACCCCAGGTGTCCCGCAACAAAAGCCTGGTCAGCTGGGGGGGGGGGGCCCTAGCTGCGCCCCCTCCTCCCCTAGCAGACCAGGGAGACCCGAGCAAAGCCGTGGAGGCGCAGAGGTCCCGCTGCCTCTGCGGCTTTGCTCCTGTCTCCCATCTGTGCTGGGGAGTCACCCCCCAGCACACCAGGGAGACCCGGAGCAGCTTTTTTCGCCCCGGAGGACGCGGTGGTGGGACCGCTGCGCTCTGGGCGGTCCTGCCGCCCGTGAGCTCCGGGGCGAGAAAAGCCCCGTTCGTAAGTGCGGATCCGACGTAAGTCGGGGACTGCCTGTACTGTCAGCACTAGGACTGAGTGGGAGCGTGGAAGGAAACTTGATAATAGAGTTTGAAGGAATAAGAGATACATGAGCTAGTCCAGGGAGGAGTGAAAACAGTAATAATTCACAACCATGACTAAACAGAACTGTTTTATAACACATGCTATTTTTAACCACAATAAAATCTACCCCTGCCCTGCCTCCCCTCCCTCAGTGACCAAGATTACGCTCTCAACCCTAACATTGCATCCTATAAGACACTCTACTGGAAAGTAGAGGAGGATGTAGCAATTGCTCATAGGTAATGCAGCAGAAGTCAATGTGTGCATCCATTCACTAAGATTCCTTACCTATTTGCCCTTTTCAGGTCATTAACAAACTCTGCAGACTGCTGATGTCTGATTTCGCTGCTCTTTGTGAGTCTCTCTAAGGCACTCACTAACTCTTGCACTCTTGCTTTCAGTTTCTTCTCTCTGCACCAGGACACAAGGAGTGAGGAAATTAGTTATCCATACAATTTGTATTTTCCAGTGTATAAACAGCATTCAGGAAGCTTCTGTCTGTGTTAGATTTAAAAAGAGGAGAATATTGTTTTATGCTTCTTTGGTAAGCAAAGATTTCATTTTATGAAGTTAAATTTATATTACATTAATTTTTTTAAAAAAAGCAAAACAGTAACAATTTACACAGGACTGTAGGATAAAAAAGAAACATGGTCAATCCGATTGTCACTTAGTATGGTCTTGTCCACCCTACGTCTCTCTCACAGAAGCACAGAATAATGTGCAGTATCTACAGAGTTAGGCAAAGAGATGCATGGAAGAAAGTCTTTAACATACGGCAGGTTTTTTATATATTATAATTACTTAAGTGGGCAACTCAGATAGTAAAGAAAACACTGTAAAGGGAAATTAAACCTAAAGCTAATATGTAGCGAAAAATTAACTGAAATGCAGTCATGGCAGGAGAACTAGAGAATGTGCTAATCAAACATTATTAAGAACTCATTATTAGCAAAAACTCTAGCATTTCCTTCTGAGCCCTATGCAACCTTATTTTTCTTTTAACATAACTGTGTGTGTGTGTGTGTAATAAACGTATAATGCTACCAATGAAACTGCACAGTTACGCACTATAGTGATTTCTAGAGGGTGCACAGGTATTTTTCTGAATAAAAGCCACAAGAGCCGTCTGAAGCAGTTTCAGGATTGCATTAAGATAGCTTTGCTGCCAAGGTGTGGATTGGAATCCTGAATTCATAAAGTGCACTAATACTCAGATGCATATTAGAAAACCTACTCAAGGTTAGAGATTGGGTATGCCGTCTAGTAAAGCCACTGTAATGAATGTGTTTAATCGGGGGCCGGCCTGCCTCTTAATGTGGGATCTGCTAAAATAGTCTCCATTTGCTGTAAATGTCCTTTTTTCCCAACCCAAATTAATCAACAGTATTTTTTAACTGTGCTGACATTTTGAGCTTTATTATGAATTCCATTAACTTGACTCTACTTAGCTTCTTTCAGCCATTAAACTTTATTTACACATCTGTTGTTTGATTTAAGCTTCTCTTGTTTCCCCTCTGGATGGCTGTACTGGTCCATGATTCCGAGGTCCTTAGCTGGAAATCCATGGTGGGCAATTTATAGCATAAATTAAGGTTATGGGTTTAATCAACAAACCACACTTTGTTATAAATTGCTGCTATTTATGCTAGAGGCATCATCCTGATATGCAGTCCATAAGGGAAATCCAAAAGTTATGGCTGCAAACAAGACAGTACTGATCCCAGTACCACCTATCTGAATGTGGTCATTGGACAGTGGTTATTAGACTCTCAAGACTGTTTGGCACGGCTCCCCATGCAATGTAAATCTAATTTTAAACAGAATGCTTTTGTTTACTATGTTAGCCAAAAAAAATATTCCACAATTTGTGCATCTATGATACAAACAACCCAATTTAACAGCCTGTCTGCTTTAACTCCATTGTACACATGATATAAGTCTTTTTAACAGAATAGTGTATGCTATGTACCAAATGTACACTCAACCTCCCACATTAGTGATTACACTTTCTCCTACACAACTGTAAAATACAGAAGAGCTTGAATTTGAACCATGTTATTACCTCTCTGAAGGTCACTGCAAATACCACTTTATTCTACATATCCCTGTTATAGTGACTAAAAATAAATATTTCCTCCTGTTAGCCCTGCAGAGCCAACAGAAAAGTGAGCGAAAGCTAGATTTTGGTTCACTTTAGTTTAGACAGAATTTAGTCTAATTGTCGACAAAATTGTTTACTACATTTCATTTATAAAGTTAATCAGTAACACCTGTACAAGTCGACTGAGTGCTCTGGAGGTTGCAGTTATGGCAGAATCTCATTATGATATGGTTGCACAGGTGCTTAACAGGAAGATAATGTTCACTAAAACAGGTGTTACTGAAGGCATAATTTGGCTAGCAGAACTGTTATTGCTGGAATGTATGTGCCAGAAGAGAAGTACCTAGTTTGACTTTCTGGCCCTAAGCTGGGTTTGCAAGGTTCAGTTAGGAAACAAGCATTTTTTAAATTTTAAACCCATGGTATCCAAGCAGTTCTGAAGCAGTAACCACTATAGTGGCTACTACTATAGCAAACTAGCCACATTTCATCTGAAAATGCAAATAATTTTGTGAGACTCCGGAAAGATTAATTCTTGTCTCAATGTCAAGAGAAGTCTTCAACACGGGTTTTAATCAACAGAGATCACCACATTTTGCAGAAATTCAATCAATGGGACAATTTTGTTTCATTGCTAAACCTTCAAAATCAAATCTTTCACTGCAGCACCCCTCAACTTGGACTCCATATTTTCATCCAGTAACTATGACCGATACTTTGACTTGATGTACAACATGACAGAAAATGACTATTCACAAAGCCATGTTGAACTAAATATGGAAAAAGATTTGGAAACTGCAGTTTTCAAAATAGCTAACTGATTCTGTCACAAAAGTGCACCCCACATTGTCAAAACAGATTCATTTTTTGACTGATGGAGCTGACTTTGAAGTTTGAGTATATCTTCTTCAAACAAATGTTTGTCCAGGCCAAGCAAATTGACAAGTTCTTGAGAATTAGCAATGTTGAACTGAAATGGGTTTTTCATGAATAAAAACAACATCATGAAGCTTTCAAAATTTGCAAAATATTGGCTGAATTTCATTGCCAGGTTTTCAAGTTAATCTCACATAATGCTGACAATCTAGGTCATCACACACAAAGTCACTATCTCCAGCAATTTTCTGCAATTTTAGGAAGTGGGTGAATTCACCTGCCTTCATTTTAATAATGAATAGCTTAATGGCTAAGGCAAAAAGTAAGGTATTTTCAAAAGTTTTTTGACAACCGATTGTAGCTGTTCTAATCACCAGAGTCCAGCACACAAACACCCATTCAAAACAAAAACAGATCTCAAAGGTAGCATAAACAGTACTGTACTTGCACAGTGAAAATTTAAAAAGAAAGATACTCACTTGAGAAACCCATTTAAATGAATGCCAGGACAAGCCTGGCCAGCTTAAAAACTGTGCTGCTTCATACAAGAATAATTTCACACAGAGAACTCAGTAGTACTTTCAGAAAGGCTTCGATGATACATACCAGTAGAAAACTAGTACCCGGGAATACCAGCTGTGGCTTACGATGATGCATGAGGATTTCTGCCCTAAGTGGCATATTTAAGCGGTTCTGCGAACTGGCGGAAGTCTCCATCCAGCAGATGGGTCAAATTAATGGATAGTGAGTGGCTTTAGAGTTTAGAAAGATCTTCTAAACTTTTTTTTAAATTCTCTGAAAAATGTAGTTTGATTTGAAAAATGTTTTGAATGCATCTATTTGAGATTTTTATTGTTCAAGCCAACTAGCCACACTCAACCGGCCAAATAGCCACATGCGGTACTGGACATCATGGTTTTAAATTTGATACATAATAACCGAGGCTTGTCAAAGAACAGCATTTCTGTATGGTGCCTGGCTAGTCTAAATCTGCACTCTAATATTAGAGTTGAGGAACGACGCACTTTAAAGACTAGGGATGTTAAAAATAATTTAATACAGTAAAAATCTTACCAGTTACATGGTTACGCGTGCTGTGGACTCTGCAGTGTAAAGCTTATGTTTATACTGTGCAGTCCACAGCAAAGCTTCTCTGGGTGCATGGCTGCAAGCCCCTGCCACCCTGGTTCCTGGGGAGTCTAGCCAGACAGGAACCCCCCTGTAACATCCATCTTGCTTGCCTCTTCTAGATGCCTGGAGCACACAGGGCACACACAGAGCAGTAAAATCAGCACAGTCTTTGAAGCCTTGACAGGAGGCCCGGATATGCTAGCTCACAGTGACCCTGGACAACTGTAAGCATAGATATGAGGGTGATTGAGCTAATCGCTGACCAAGAGGCAGCAGAGGAGTGCCCTTGACTGAAACCCATATTGATATCACACACTCGTCCGGGGGGAAGGGATCGCCCGCCCAGTAAAGAATGTCCAGTACTCACAATTTAGTTCTCTCTCTTACAAGTGTAAATTAAGTTGAAACTCCCGTGTAAGAACTGGCGTCACAAAGACAGACCAACACAATTTGGCATCTTAGATAAGAAAGAGGATACGGGCCCCTATGGGTATAAAGATGGGTCCAGCAGCACACTCACTCTGAGCAACAGTCTACCATTTATCTGCTGGTTGGATTAGGTGATTGGGCTCCCGAGGTTCCACGGGGACGCCTACCTCGTATTCGTCTTTCCTAGGAATTGAGGGACCGGACCTGGCCTTATACACTGGAGTTGAGAGGCACAGAAGGGGGTAAAAATTGTACCTGGATGTGGTCCTTTGTCTTAAGTGTACACATAGACTTAGAGCTCTTTAAAGATTAAGCTGTCACTTGGTACCATTATTTCTATTTTCTATCTTTATTTTCTTTGTAACCATTTTTAAAATCTGTATTTGTTAACAGTTAAGAAAGAGAGCAATAGCCATTGTAACCATATGCTTTTTAGGTTTCTTTAATAAACCTGTAAGGCAGTGGTCCCCAACCATTAGAGGTTGCTGGGCGCCAGGGGGCGTGGCCGCTACTCCATCCGGTCATAGGGCAGACAAAGTGAGGGAGAGCTGGGTGTTTGTATCGTGTCGCCTCCACAGGACACATCCTTTGGGGGCATCCGTCACCCTTCCCTAGGCTGCCCTCTGCAAAGGGACCCTGGTCCTAGCAGCTAAAGACACGGATGAAATAAGCTCTCCCTGCACACCCTTGGGGCATCCATCAGCCTTCTCTGGGCTGCCCGCTGCGTAGGGACCACAGTCCTAGCAGTTGAAGACTCAGATGTGACACACTCTGCCTGCAAATTCTCGGGGGCGTCCATCAGCCTTCCCTAGGCTGCCTGCTGCGAAGGGACCCTGATCCTAGCAGTTGAAGACTCGGGTGTATAACACAC